AAAACTCGTGTAATCGATAGGGGTTTTAAGTTCGCGACCCCTCGACCGTTCGGGTTTAAAACGGTTTCAAATGCGAATGTTTGGAAACAAAAAGATTAAGGGATAAAATAGTAGGTGTTGTTACCTAATGAGAGAAGTTGATGAACTGTCACGTATCACGTCCCATGGAACTTTTACAAGCAAACAAACAATCGAAAAATATTTGACCCGTGTTCGGTGCTCGATTGTTTGCGAAACGTTTACCCTTTAGCGAGTAAATCGTAGTTTATTTTTTGTTCTGTTTTTACGGAAAAGTGTACCGTTTACCGTTTGGCTGAACAAGTCGGACTATGAATATAGATCATGGAGGGTTGTTTTAAATCTCTTTGTTATAAGTTCGCTTTATACTTTCCAATTGTTTAACACTTTTCCGGCCACTGTTACATATTTAAGATTGTCTGGTAATTACCTGTCAATTTCTCAACAATGCTGCGCTGCCCTATATAGGTTCTATCGTAACAAAAGACGACCATACCAGTTACGAAACGTATGCCGAAACCCATGAACAGAACCGACAGTGTGAAACGTTCGATAAACGACGTCGAAAGTAGGGATTAAAAAAAAGAAAGGAAATACGAGTCTGGAATACAGAATACATAGACAAAACCATATCGCAGCTACGAAGCCAGAATGAAAGCGAGCGAAACAAAAATCGAACCCGCCTCGTTCTGTCCGCGGCCGGTTGTTCGCTGATAACGGGTGGGCGCAATTTGGTCGAATCGCGCGAAAGAATAGTCGGGGTTGGCCAGAAAACATGAAACAATGCGTTTTGCTCGCGACTGTACGCGTCGACACGATGTAGGTTACAAACAGAGGGACATGGGTATCGATTTCAGCACGGTATGCAGCACCGTTGTGAAATGTACCTTCTAACGTTATGTCGCGGTGCGCATTGAAACCGCGACGCGTCCAGGGAATATCCAGTGGACGGTCTAGGTGCGTTGAAACGACAAGAAACTGGAGTATACAGGTGCTTCCAGGAGTTTCGTTATACTCGTTTCATTCGAGACCTTGGCTCTTATTATCAAACTACCCCTAAGAGCTGGAATTTTTCTTTCGAGTTATTTATAACGCCTGGAATGCTCATTTTTAATGTATTCATTGAAAATTTGCATTTTCTAAAAATTAAAATTCTTCGAAGGCAGATTGCATTCTTATGCAATAAGGATAAAATCCTTATGCTTACGAAGCGAAATCTAAGAATCTCTAACGCTAAATGGAACATGTTGCGGTGTAACACAGCATGCGCGACACTGTAAACCCGTCAAGAAGATATCATGGACATCTGAAGTATCTAAGCTACGTTGCATCTTCCGGGTGCAGTCGCGACTCTTGCTAAGCGAAATACGAGAACTTTTAGTCTTTCCTCGCTGACAAGAACTGTCATTTAACCCCTTAATACTCTCCGTAGGATGCTGTATCAAAAGAATGCACAATTTACGAACTGTTTATTTTTTCAACAATCTAAATTTCGAATAAAATATTCTCCAAATAGGAATTAATTCGACATTGCGATTCCTTGATAAATTGAAGAATTAAAGATTTTAATTCACGGGGCTCACCCGAGCCTCACCCAACTTCCCGCCAGAGAGTCCCCCAACAGCCACGGTTCAAAGGTGCAGACAAAGATCCCGTTTCCGGTCCGTCGTTCCGCGGGACAATGATTCCGAGCGATTTATATTTAATGCGAGAGACCGTGTCACGGAATGGGACGGACTCGAAAGCCGAGTCGAGGGTCAAGATGAAGGTCAAATGAAAAAGGAAACGCGTCCTTGTTGTTCGATCTTACGGATATGTAGATCGACACGGATCGATCGATAACCCTTCAACCGGGAACGAGTCGCATACAAAACGAGCGTAGCTGAATCAGTCGTATCACGAAGGTGATCTAAAACAACGATGAAGATGCGCGTGGAAAAAAAAGAAGAAGAAGAAGCGGTGTGCAAGTTTTGAAAAGGCGGACGAACCACGGCCATTATCATTTGAATACGCCTTCGAGCTTCTGACGATTTGAATATTTCGTCAATTAAGCCGATGCACGATTTACATAGGTGAGACAGGGTCGGCAACCGACGTAGACGATTTATTTCCGTGGGTGAAACGCGATCGATACCGATTCCCGGGGCTTTTCAGATACCATCTAGCGAGTATTTTTTCCCCTTTCGGTTTTCTGTTAACCTCGATTTTTCGACCGTGAAACTTGCCTTCGGCCATGCCAGAAAGGGAAGAAGCATCCCCTACGGCTGAAATTCTTCGCGTACCTAACCACACGAGTCGAATTCCGCTGAAACAGTGTCTTCTTTTCGGATACACAATAGTTATCTTGCGAATTAATTCTAACTAGATATCGATAGAAATGTGAAAGTAAATAATTGAAAGATCGCAACAAGTTTTTTTTGTTTATGACACAATTTTCGGCACATTCTGTACGGGTTCATCGTACTCTAGGTTAATAGTGTTTCAAAGGAGAACCTCTTTAGAATAATTCGGTTCTGAAAACGACGACAATGACTAGGAAATTATCGAGAATCGAACAGGAGGGCACCGCGTGCCTAAGCACGGTATCAACGACACCGTACACGATCGAACGTTTACGTAACCTTTGAACCCAAACGGGAGACGCTTACGCGCACGCTCGACTTCCGGTAGCGCGCGCGTGTTCATCCGTTTATTAACGCGCTCGACGAGGAAAACGCTCGTGCCCGGATATTCTCATCACTCGCGGTTGGAAACGCTCCAAAAGATGAGGGAATCTTGCGCGATGTGAAAAACGTCGAACAAGAAGTTCGATAACTCTCACCGTCATAGCTTCAGGATGAAATGCTAATTGTTCGATTAATCTGGTCGCACGCGGTATTACGTTTTGGATACCGTTATCTCAATCATCTACACCGATTAATACTTCCGGGCTGGGGATTAAAATCACGATCAAGGTGTTTAGAAGATGGAGAAATTAGATTGCGATGATTTATTAAATACTTGAAAACTAGGTAGGTAACAAATTTTTTTTTTCATCAATTAACAAGTGAACGAGAAATTAGATTGCAATATTTATAAGATGGCTGGAAATGAAATAACCCAATGTCAATATTTCCAACAGAATATATAAATTTTTCTAGCATCGATCGTAGAAACGAACAGAAACTTTCTGACCCACTTTCCTTCCAGACAATCCCTTTAATTTTCTCGAAGCTAATCTATTCCCACACGAAGCGACGTTTGGAACGCCTAGCGGAACCTCCAACAGCGACCCAAATCTCCAAGTCGTTTACATTCCGTGCATTACCGTTTAAATTCGATAACAATGCGTTAATCGTTATAATTCCAGCAGCTTTCCGACCGGCAAAGGTACACGAACGCGACTTTACTTGAACGATAACGGGGCCACGATTGCGCGTCGCTCGTTTCGGCACCTTTTTAACTTCCGTCGCGATAAGCGGCGTTGATCAATGAAAGCGGAACGACGACGCGACGGATGGAAAAACGTGGGAAAACGGACGGTTTTCAGCTTTCGGTTGTCGCCGTGAACGCGATATGTAAATTTTTCTTCACACGATAAACGTTCTTTTACACGTGACGATACTGGTTGTTTTGAAATGTCCGATTTGTCTCGGCGCGTCGCGGAGACACACGCGGGCGCTTGCGACGTGCACGCATGCATATGTCTCTTTTCGCTTCGATGATGTGCGTGGAAAATTCTTTTTAACCGAATATCCGTGGAAAAATTACGATTCGAATAAATTAGAATGTTTCAGAGTAAAGAACAAATCGGTCGAAGTCGCAATTTCCCCATCCGGAAACAGCGGTAGAAATGCAACACCTTCAAAAGTGCAGTGCATTGAGGAAGAAACGAGAGAAAGAAGATACATCGAGAAAGGAAAAATCGCTGTCGAGAAGTGGAAAACGCGAAGGACAGGAATAAAGAAACGTGATCCGTCTGAAGGCATTGAGATGCAAATAAGCACCGGTAGCAGTCGTGATTTACGAGGGACAGACGTGTCCATACGCGATTGGGACAGAAAGAACGAAAGTTTGTGAACTCGAAGGCGTTCGGAGAACAAGCAGATACGATCTGCCCGGAAACATCACAATGGACGGGGGATTTTTATGCGATGAAGTTAGTCGTTCGAACCGATTACAAGATTTTCTCGATTCTTTTCTTCGAATATTTAATTTACAGTGCTCGTGGCAGTTGAATAAAAATTATTAGAGAAAAATAATTAAAAAATTGGAAACTGAGGAGAAGGAATTGGAGGTGTGCAGGTTGTCGCGAGTGCAGCCTCGCGACTAGTTGCCAGAGCGTATTGACGCGGATTGCAGGCGCAGGTTAAATCGAGCAGACGGTGGCGGCGTCGCGACGCCGGCTGCGCGGACGTGCAACCCTCTCCGCCGCTCGTCTTCCTATCTATCGTGGGTGGGGAGATACAAACAGCGAGAGGGAAAATTTATAAAGAGCGTCTGGAGGGGGTAAACTACTTGTTGCGCGTCGCGGCGCCCTCGTGACGCCAGTATCCCTCTTCTTCTCTTTCTCCCTTCGCGTTCTCGACGACTACTACTACCGTTACCGTCGCCAGTACGCCCTTTCGCTGGCGACGCCACCGACGACGACGCTACCACCACTAACGCCAGCGTCGTCGCCACCCCCGACATCGACTCGTGATACCGTCGACAAAAATAGACGTGTCGTCGCGACGCAACAGATATCACTCGACCTCGACTCGCCTACGACAATTTTCCAGCTTGTCCTTGTACCTCTCATTACCTTTCTTTTTTTAATTACTAATTGAACTTAATTACACGTATCAGATTTAACTTTATCTTTGTCTTGTCAAGACTAAAGCAAAATATATTTAAAGTAACGATGAAAATGTAGTTGATAAATAAATAAATACTATACGAATTGAAATTGTCACTGCCTCAGCGATTAACGAAATAAAAATAAAAATAGAAGATCCACTGACCTGAATCTGATGGCCAGGATTGTTGATGTGTAGCTGCTGCGCCTGGTTGATCTGCAAAGTGGAGGTGCCGGGTCCCGAGGGAGGTCTCGGGGGCGTGGAGCTGGTGAAGGGTCCCTGGGAGCCGGTTTGATTGGGTCCACCGCCCTGGGAGCCTCTCGGTGGAAGCGGATAACCGGGGCTGCCGTGATTCGGCATCGATCCCGGACTACCGTATGGCGAATACTGCTGCTTGTATCCTCCGCTTGGGCCAAGCATGCTCGGTTTGCCGCCGCTGCCAGCTTGCGGTCTCTTCATGTCCGCCAGCCCGGCAGCGAATTGGGTTTGCGAGCCGACGAACATGTCGTTAGTTTGTTGGCTTTGGAATCCGGACGTGCCGTTGTTCTTGTGATACGATCCAGTACCCGCACTCGTCTGTGATTGTCCACCAGCTGGACCCGTGCTACCAGGGCTACCAAGGTAATCGGACGCGCCACCGAATTGCGGGAATTCCGCGTAAGGGGAACGAGCTGTTGGTCCTCTAGCGGCTGCCGCGGCCGCGGCACTGGGGTTGAAACCGCCCAGGCCAAGCTGTTGACTCTTGTGCTGATGTTGTTCGGCCATTTGCTTCAACGTTTGGGCGGCTGGGCTCATCTCAGACTTGAAGTCCAAGCCGGAATAAGGTAATCGGACAGGGGAGTATTGGGCCGAGCCGAGAGTACCAGGGCTAGAATTGGCAGGCATCGAGTTCCCGTTATTGGGACCCGTGCCATTATTCACATTGTTGTTATTGGTGGTCCCGTGTTGCTGGTGTATCGCGTCCTTATCATCCTCGATTTTAATTTGCCCATTGTTCGTCGCGATGCTGTTGTTGTTGTTGTTATTCGCTGCTGCAGCAGCAGCCGCGGCCGCAGCCACCGCTGCATTGTTCGCCAACGCGTCCACAGGGATCTTCTCCTCGAAATCAAAGTCCTTCATGAACTCCGGATGAAAGTCGGAAATCTCCGAGATGAGATCTTTGAACGCGTCGGAGGTGATAATCTCGTCACCCGTGTCATCTCCCATGAAATCGGAGAAGCCGGGAAAACCGGCACCGTTCGCCGCCGCGTCTTTTTCCAACGCGGCGGCGCACTGTTCTAGGTCGACGAACTCGTTATCGGGTTCCTGTTTGCATTCGACCAGGTTGCCGATATCAACGCAGCCGATACCACCGGGGGCAGCTGGGCCACCTGTGCCAGCGCCACCGGAACCCGGTCCGCCTCCGTTTCCGTTCCCAGCCTGAGCTCTCGACGTGCCGGATGCTGGTGTGTCCGGGCCTGATTTCGGCGACGACGACGCATTCAGCAGGTCGCTCTTCACAGAGGCGTTCGTTAACGCCTTCACCGTTACGTTCGTGGATATCTGTTGAGCCTGCGAGTTCGCGGCCGACGTGGTGAACTCTAGTTGCTGCACGATCTCCACCGAGAACTTGGTCAATCCTTCGTTCCCGCCACCGCCGCCTCCTCCTCCTCCACCTCCGCCACCGCCGTGCGTCTGACCCGTCGAGTTCGTACCGTTTCCGGCCGGATGCTGACCGTGGCCGTGATGAGGCCCGCCACCGCCTCCTCCACCGGGACCCTGCTGATGTTGATGCTGTGCCTGCGTGCATTGCAGCTTCACCGGGGGCTCGCCGAAGCCACCGTCTCCGCTACCACCGCCCGCTGGCTCCAACTCCTCGGCCGTCCTCTTCACGAATTTTTGCTGCTGAAACGAGATAGCGACAATATTGATTAGTATTACAGTTGGCAGTGAAACGGATCACGGATTAAAATTATTCGATCTTTGTCTAAAAGCCGTCGAAGCGTCTCGTTCCGGAGAACCACCCAAGTAGCGAATGCCTCGAAAAATCGCGCGAATTACAAAGGAAAAGAAACTCGACAACGTCTTGTAAATCCCTCGGCGTCTCGCGATTCCCATTAGAAGCAACCGACAGACTGATCGGACTGGAAAAAAGGGAACAAAAGTGGCAGCGTTCTGCTCGTGGGTCAAGGCAAAACGCGGCGAGTGCTCTAAACTCGTTGGTTTTTCTGCGATCACGAGCCAGGTAACCGGTAACGCAGGATATTTAGCTCGCGGTACCTGGATGCTTCGTTCTGTTCCCCGTTTCTTTCGCAATTAACCCGGCTATTTCTCACGGTACCTGTCAATACTGGCGACCCTTTTTCTACGCCGGTGTCCACCGTGCACCAGCGACGAATCGACCGTTCGGTCAGCCTCTGACAGCCTGTTTTGTCTGTTCGAGGCTGGTGTCCCCTTGCCGGGCATAAATCTTGCAACGCGAATCAGTTTCTACCGCTCGGCACGTGAATCTATGCGATCCGCGAGACGTCCATGCGTGGTTGGTTCTATCGTGATAACGAGACGGACCCTGATAGTTTATCGTCTGCGCACAGCTTTAACCAGCCTTCGAACAGAAGCCGGTGAAATATGTTTGTTACCGTCAGGATTTACGCCCCGGAATTGAGGGATGGAACAAATAAAGGAAATAATCCGATCGATAGTTTCAATTTTCAAAAATTTCAATTTTAACATTATATCATATACATATAATAATTTGAATAAGATTTAAATTTGGAATACAATAAATCATACGACAAATAACCCACTTTTATTTATTTAATCTACATAGGGGTTATGAAAGCACTTCCTCTCCGAGCTACTTTTAATTACATACCACAGGAGGTATTCGTTGTGGCCTTCTTACGTATCGTGCACATGATGACCCTGTATCATAGATTCCAGCACGCGTTAGTAAATTCCTTAATTAATTACTGCTCGAATGGAAAATATTAACAATTCGATACTATTGCAAGCTGTGCGTTACACTATCCAGAAAATTCATCAGCAGAGTACATACAAGAAAATAAAATAACAAAGAACAGATCAAACTAGGAAGCGAAAAAAAATTACATTCTAAAATCAACAGTGGAAAGGAAAACTTGATATTATATCAGAATCCATGGAACAGTTTACTGTTGGCGTATGTAGAAATGAAAAATAAGCCAATAAATTGGAATGAAAACAAGTGGCTGGTTCTCCTTGCGAAACGTCCTAATCGAGAGGTAGGTTTTCGAACAGGCAAAACACGTAACGCGAATAGGAGGAAAAGATCGGAAAAAGTTTTTCCAGGGCGCGGTCGAGCCGCCATGAATCGCACACAGATCCACAGACAGTCGGTGTACATTTGTCATGATTTGAACCGGGATAACCTCCGCCTCGTTCCAAAATCGATAATACGTATTACCCTCTAATAGGGGAGTAGCTCCGTCCTACGTTTCCGTGTTCAACCCCATTTTGGGTCTTGTCTTGAAACGAATCTGTGCCTCTCCTGCATTGTAACCTTAGGATAGGATACGAATTCTACGAAAATTACACAACTATACAAGTTTCGTATGATCGATGAAAAATTCATGTAAAAAAATTCACGGTTCGACGTTTGAAAATGGCAGACAGATTTGAAGGTAGCAGGTAAAAATTGGTGCCACGATAAATTCTCAGGGTAGGCGAATACGAGCCTGGAGCGTAGGCAGTCGCGAGGAAATTGCGGAGAAAGCGAGCAGCAACGCAGACATTTCCGTCGCCTTTGCGGAATCCGGAACGCCCGTATTTTTCGCCCGGGAAAAACGAGAGAGCCAGGTTGGATTGTATATACGTAAGTTGTAATAGATGCGAGACGAGTTCCCGGAGAGTAGTTTCGGTCGGGCATGCCGCCTTTAGCGAAGCAATTTCGCGGGGCGAAAATGTACGCCAACCTCTCGCTGGATAACCGAGCCGAGCCACCGCTTGCTTCGCGTCAATATTCCTTCCTGCGGATCCTAGACTCGGTTTTAACGCGTTGCCTACTATGGAGGTCGCTAGTGACCATCATGAATTTATTTAATTATTATAGAAGCGCATTCGAGTGTGAAGCACGCGCCGATGGAGGAGGACTCTTAAGAAGCTGGGGAAGAAAAGATGCCATTGGCCTAGTTTCTCAAGATCCATGAATGCTGCCCTACTTCGGCAAACATAAACATTGTTGTTCATCCTTTATCTTCTATGCTATTACAAGCTTTTCCTCTACATCTCCTCGTTCTTCGTACGTGTTCTTCGTAGCGAAAGGGTAAATAATGCTTTAATCGAGCGAAGCGAGAAAAGTGGTACCGATTCAAGTTATTAATCAAGCATCAACACGAGTATAAATCTTCCCCAACTTTCATTTCTACCCGTTCGGTTTCATGAACCCGTCCCTTACTCTCGTTCACCCCTATCTTTCTCCCTCAAGTTATTTCACCCCTGACCACGTCCAGCTCTTTATTACGCTCGAGGAATTCGTACAACCGATTAATTCTGCCGTTTAGCGATTACGAATTAATAGTTGGTTACGTACACCGTCGGCGAAAATCAATAGTGGTGTGGGTGTTGACAGAGGGTGACTACACCGGCGTGGCGATGGGGGAGGTGGCTTTTGGCCGCTCGAGGAGCCGATTTAACCCTCGAAATCGGTTACTGCAACGTCGAGTTTACAGAACTTCGGGGCCCCGCCGTATTATGCCACTTCGACCGGAAATAATACTCTGCTACACACCGCTTCCGTGTTTCAACATAGTGTACTAGCAAAATACCTACATGAAAACGAATATTTTCGAATACAAAGATATCTGCTGCGTTTCATTCAGATTTCTGTCAAAATAATTATTTATTGCATCTCGATGCTTCAGTTTATAATAATCTTTGAGACTTGGAATGAATTCTGAGAGCGATTCACTGAATCTTTTCCAAGCTTGCATTCGTGGTACGAGCAGATAAGAAGCGTGTCAGTAACCTTGAAGCACTCCCGAGTTCCCTCCTGCGTGGGAGGATACGGCACATCTATTGAGCGTTACGTTTCGTTAACGACGCCAGCTCTCCGCTAGCCAGACGATTGTTAACACGACCTAAATATCAACCGACTCTCTCTTTCTCTCGTCTCTTTAACCCCTTTGCCTATGATTTTTTTCGATAGTTGCGTCAATCAGAGCTAACTATTTATTGCTTCAATTTTAAAACAAATAAATAAAAATGAAATATCATTCGTACATAATATTCAACGAGGAATTTCTAATTCGAATTAAACTAAAAATTTAACTATACTTAAAGTACCAGCCACCTTTAACACAACTGAACTGTAAGTGCTACACGATATTGTACAGCAAAGGGTTAACCCTCGAAACTTTCCTAATCTACGATTTACAACTGTGACTAATTTATAATCTAATTTAGCTTCGAGTACAATGTTTCAATTTACTCGAAAGCTGTCGACCCTTTTTTGACGATGGGCGTATCTGTGAAGCGTGGAAAACGAGGGCGATCATTGTTGCGCATCAAACCTACGTGACTGGGCAGTTTTACCCGTTCTCAAACATCGAGCTCTTTATAATGAACGCGTATTCGAACCATAGAATCAATTAAGTATCGAAAAGAGCATCAACAGTCACGCTTTACTTTTACTGTTTTGTCATTCGAGAAAATAGACGGAAAATCTGTTGAACATTGCTGCTTCCTTCGATGCTAAAAGTATTTCCTTCGCGGTGATATAGCGTTTGAAACTGTACGATTGAATTACGATCCCGTGTAGAATGAACCGCGTTTACTAATACTTACCGATGCACTTGATACTGCAGGTGCGAGCAACACGTGTACCATTTAGAAATCAAGATTCTAAAATGTGTATCGTGTTCGTTAAACAAGAGACTGCAGTGTGTGGTTGAAATAATTATTACGTACACGAGTGTTCTTTTTTAAAGCTTTGACTTAAATCGTATTTAGGGAAGCTGGCAAAATTGTCGACGTTTCGCTGGATAAACAATAAATAATAAACAACGATGTAAAGTGCATCCCATGTGGTCGCACGTGTCGCGATGGAACGCTATTTGCGGCTTTGATATTTATAAGCCGTTCTAATTTAGCCGCAGACGTATAAATATCAATTTAACGTGGACTGTGTATGATTGCGTTACAATTGCCTTTGACTCTCTTTCGATCGAAACTCATCAATTACTCTATTAACTTAGACAAACACTGAATTAATCAATTTACAACTTACTACTGTCCATTAGCGAATATCCAATTTCCTTCCATTCATGTCTGAAAATAATAATAGAGCTTTCCGATTTGTTTTGTCAGGAAAAATCGATCGATTCTGGGTTATACGATCTTTGTTTAAAAAGGAGAACGATAACAAAAATGAGGTCTCGTTCCAACCCTCCAATACGTTGTTCTCGCACCCTCTGTACGCCATACCAGGAAAACTGTACGGGACAAGTAACCGGCTCGACGGCAGGCCAGAAATAAAATGTTCAGCAGAGTGCTCTAATCGCGGCTATAGTTAGAAACAATTATCGAGCAGAACGAAGTCGATGCCGGTTTACGGTCAATCGGTGTCGTTTTGCGGTGTCCGGCCACCCTCGGCGAGTAGCCACCCTCGTTGTGCGCGCGGTAATTTAATTTTTCCCAAAAATCCAGACGGCTGTGAACGAGGCAAAAATTAGCGGACGCGGTTTAACTGGCCGCGGTATTTCAATCCAAATGAAATCATTTTTGCAGAATGAAGATGAAATTAAACGCGTCGTATTCAAACGCAAACGCTAAAGAAAAAAAAATGAAAATATTTGATATTATTAATAGAATAAGGTAGATGAATTACTATTGTATCTTCAGACCATTATCGCCCTCGCGATTCATTA